TAGGTTTTCTTTCTGAATTATGGGACAGCAGGCTGCTTACCCGAGCTGATTAGAATATTTGTTTTTCTCTACTCTGGATGCCTTTATGTGTTGAATATTGCAGTCTGTTAGATCTAGTTCTCCTTAGCAACTTGTAACTTTATTCCCTGTGTAAGATTTTAGTTTCTTCAGCTTTGAAAATGGAAGTTTTCTGAGAGATACGATGGGAACACTAAAGGAAAATTCTGGAGCTATACGGAATTTTTGTTTTAGTCAAGAGTACATCAAGATATTAGATGGATGTATTTAAATTCTCAGTTACTTTTTCATTTTTAGATCAGTTTTTGTTTGTGAATGTCCATAGAGAACTTTGAAATTTAAAAGGGTATACTAGCCAGGTGCAGTGGCTCATACCTGTAATCCTAGCACTCAGGAAGGCGGAGGTGGGAGGATCAGTTGAGCTCAGGAGTTTGAGACCAGCCTGAGCAAGAGTGAGAACCCATCTCTACTAAAAACAGAAAAATTAGCCAGGCATTGTGGCATGTGCCTGTAGTCCCAGCTACATGGGAGGCTGAGGCAGGAGGATTGCTTGAGCCCAGGAGTTTGAGGTTGCTGTGAGCGAGGCTGATGCCACGGCACTCTACTCAGGACAACAGAGTGAGGCTCTGTCTCAAAAAAAAAGAGGCCATACTCTTCCTAAGACAAATGAATTCTTTATTCAATTAATAAGAAAACACAATTGAATTCCTGTTTAAATATGAGAACCACTTAAAACTTATATAATCTTTGAAATTCTTGCTATATTTAAGGGATCAGGACCAAATCCATAATGCATTATAAAATGCTACTCATTCCTAAAACTACCCCCCAATATGAGATATAGTGGAAGGAGAAACTATGATGTAGCTTGTCATTTTAATTAGTTGAAAATTTTTTATTATTTTATTTTTCACACACCAACTCACAAGCCCTCAGTGTAATAATGTCCCAGTGACACACAAAGCAAGCCCTCTGTACTCCTCCCCAGCTCTCCTTCCTTGCTTGAGGCTAACTAAGCACCATCTGATACATTTTATTTATTTATATAGTACATACCTAACTATACTATATACTATATTTTTTTTTTTTTTTGAGACAGAGTCTCACTTTGTTGCCCAGGCTAGCATGAGTGCTGTGGCATCAGCCTAGCTCACAGCAACCTCAAATTCCTGGGCTCAAGTGATCCTCCTGCCTCAGCCTCCTGAGTAGCTGGGACTACAGGCATGCCCCACCATGCCCAGCTACTTTTTTCTCTATATATTAGTTGGCCAATTAATTTCTTTCTATTTATAGTAGAGATGGGGTCTTGCTCTTGCTCAGGCTGGTTTCGAACTCCTGACCTTGAGCAATCCGCCCGCCTCAGCCTCCCAGAGTGCTAGGATTACAGGCGGGAGCCACTGCGCCCGGCCTGAGATTTAATTTTTTAAATACCCCAGATTTTACAAAACACAACAGTAGAATAAAAAACTGGAGTTTCTTTTCATACAAACTTATTTATTTGGATTTTTTTTATATTTCAAATTATTGATACATTCAAAGAGTAATTTTAATCTCTTTAATTTTTGCTGACTGTGTCGAGTCACACTTGACATCCGAGTGCAAAGGGTTAAAAACTTACCGTCTTAACCATTTTTAACACATTAACTGCCATGTGTGTTGTATTTAATTCACACTAGCTTTGAGCCCAGGGCCTCATGAAGCATATATAACTCAAACATCTTTTCATCTTGGAACCTGTGTGAACTACTTTTCAAGTTGCATATAACTCGTGAACAGAAAACAATAAAAAATAATTTTTTCAGGGCTGGGTGCAGTGGCTCACACCTATAATCCTAGCACTCTGGGAGGCCGAGGTGGGAGGATCATTTGAGCTCAGGAGTTGGAGATCAGTCTGAGCAAGAGCGAGACCCTGTCTCTACTAAAAATAGAAATTAACTGGCCAACTAAAAATATATAGAAAAAATTAGCCGAGCATGGTGGCACATGCCTGTAGTCCCAGCTACTTGGGAGGCAGAGGCAGGAGGATTGCTTGAGCCCAGGAGTTTTGAGGTTGCTGTGAGCTAGGCTGATGCCATGGCACTCTAGCCCAGGCAACAGAGTGAGACTCTCTCAAAAAAAAGTAATAACAATTTTTTCATTAAATTAGGATCATTTTATTTTCGGAGTTTTTATTCTATTTTTGTAATAAAACACTGTGGCCCCAAGAAAAAGTATATTTTTTCCTAGTGTGGCAATGTGTTAGTGCACAGTTCAATAGCATTAAATATACTCACCTCACTTTGCACCTGACCTCCAAAAGTTTTTCATCTTGCAAAACTGATACTCTTGTAGCCACTGACCATAGCTTCCCATTTTCCTTCTCCCCAACTGCTGGCAAGTGCCATTCTACTTTGTTTCTGTAAGTTTGACAACTTTACATGAACCATGTGGGTGGAATCATACAGTATTTGTCTTTTTGTGACTGACTTCCTCATAATTTCCTCAAGGTTCATCCATGTTGTAGCATCAGAGAGGATGTCTTTTAAAAGGCTAATTAATATTACATTGTGTGCATATATATATATGTATATATATGCCAATTTTTTGTTTGTTTGAGACAGTCTTGCTTTGTTGCCTAGGCTTGAGTGAAGTGGTGTCATCATAGCTCACAATAACTTCAAATTCTTGGGCTGAAGCAATCCTCCTGCCTCAGCCTCCTGAGTTGCTGGGACTACAGGCACGCACCACCACACCTGGCTAACTTTTCTGTTTTTTGTAGAAACAGGTCTCACTCTTGCTCAGGCTGGTCTTGAACTCCTGGCCTCAAGCAATTCTCCTACCTTGGCCTCCCGAAGTGCTAGGATTATAGGTGTGAGCCACTGTACCTGGCCAACTTCTTTTGAATCCAATATATATATGATCAGAACTGGGATTGCTGAAGCATATGCTAATCCTATTTTTAATTTCTTGAGGAACCTCTGTACTGTTTTCCATAGGGGCTGCACTATTTTACATTCCCTCCAACCATGCACAGTGGTTTCTATTTCTCCACATCCTTGCCAACCCTTGCTGTTTGGGGTCTTTGACTTTTTTGGTTAAGATGTAGGAATTCTTTATATGTTCTGGATATTAACATCTTATCAGATATATGATCTGTAAATATTTCCTCAAATTCCATGTTTTTTTTTTCTCCCTCTGTTGATAGTGCCCTCTGATGAACAACAGTTTTAAATTTGATGAGGTCCAATTTGTCTTTTTCATTTGTTGCCTGTGTTTGTGGTGTCATATCCAACAAATCATTGCCAAATCCAACATCGGGAAGCTTTTGCCCTATGTTTTCTTCTAGAGTTTTTTAGTTTTAGCTCTTATGTTTAGGTCTTTGGTACATTTAGATTTAAATTTTGTATATTGCTGTACAGTAAGGGTCCAATTTGTCTTTTACATGTGGATATACAGTTTTCACAGCACCATTTATTAAAAACGACTGCCCTTTCCTCATTGAATTATCTTGGCTCCCTTGTCAAAAATCATTTCACCTTGTATATGAGGGTGTCTCTCTTGACTGTTGTGTTCCATTGCTCTCTATATCTGCAATTATGTCAGTACCACGCTGTTTTGATTCCTTTACCTTTGTGTAAGTTTTGAAATCAGGAATAATGAGACTTCCAACTTTGCTGTCCTCTTTCAAGATTACTTTGGCTATTTGGGGTCCTTTGAGATTCCCTATGAATTTTAGGATGGGATTTTAGTATTTCTGAAAAAATGTCATTGGGATTTTGATAAGGACTGTGCTGAATTAGTAAATCATTTGGGCATAGTATTGACATCTTAACAAAATTGTCTTCCCAGCCATGAACACAGAATGTCCCTCCATTTATTGGTATCTTTTAAATTTTTCAGTAATGTTTTGTAATTTTCACTGTACCTGTTTTTTGCCTTCTCAGTTAATTGCTAAATGTTTTCTTTTTGATGTTATTGTTAATGTAATTGTTTTCTTAATTTCTTTTTCAGATTATTCATTGTTAGTGTACTGAAATGTAACTTTTTAAATGTTGATTTTGTATCCTGCAATTTTGCTGAATTCATTTATGCATTGTGTGTGTGTATAATCTTTAGGATTTTCAACACATAAGATCATGTCACCTGCAAACAGAGATAATTTCATTTCTTCCTTGCCCATTTGGATGTTTTTGAATTTATTTTTCTTGCCTAATTGCTCTGACTAATCTTCTCGTACTTCTTATGTTGAGTGAAATTGGTGAAAGCAGGTATCCTGTCTTGTTTCTGACTTTGGGGAAAAGCCTTTTGTGCTTCACTATTGAGTATGATGGTTCTGTGCATTCTTCACATACAGACTTTATTACAATATATTGGGTAGTTTCCTTTTATTCCTGGTTTGTTGTGGGTTTTTATCATGAATGGGTCTTGAATTTTGTTAAATGCTTTTTCTCCATCAAGTGAGATGGTGGTTTACCCCATCGTTCTGTTAATGTGGTCTATGATACTGATTTTTCATAGGTTGAACTTTCTTAGCATTCCAGAGAGAAATCTCACTAGGTCTTGGTGTATAATTTACTTTTTAATATGCTGCTGAATATGGTTTGCAATTTATTTGTGGATTTTTACATCAATATTCACAAGGGATATTTGCAGGTTTTCTTCTGGTGTCTTGATCTGGCTTTGGTGTCAGAGTCATTCTTGCCTCATAGAACAAGTTCAGAAATGTAAAAACTTTAGACAAATTAAATTTATTTGAACAAAATGTAATTCATGAATTAGGCAGCATTCAGTACCAAAAAAGGTTTGTAGAGCTCTACTCAGCAACATAGGCAGTGAGCTTTTATAGCCTAAACATGGAAGTAGAGAAATAGCTTGATTGGTTACAGATAGGTGTTGCCTTAGGCTGCCTGTGATTGGCTAAGACCTAGTTATCTATTACAATAAAAACACTTCTAAATTAGGTTGCAGTTTGTTTCATGGCAACTCAAAGTCTAGAGACAGCATCAGGCCAATGGGCTCCTGTTTATTTAACAATTCCCCCCCTTTTGGTCAGCCTTCAGCATTGCACCACACTGTCTCCATCATAACAGACTGATTTGGTCTTGGTATGGAATTCACATGTTATAATGTTAGGTCAGTTGAATGATTCTTGATGTTTTTGCTGTTCTAGTCTATTTGACACATGATTGGCTGCATACAAACATTTAAGACTCTCGAGAGGACAGGAGGCACCAGGGAGACTGATGACTACCAGGAGGATAATACCAAGAGATGGAAATGTATTCTTTAACAGGAACCTCACCAAAAGCCCAGGCAACGTAGGTAGACAGTTCAACAGTCTCTGCGTCCAGTTGGGCATCATCTTTGTTTGGGGTGTGATGGCGATTAAGGACCAAGGTTCATTGTAGAATGGTATGATTTAAAGAGGTATCCATTTTGTCTTTAGCCCGGTAACAGGAGTCATAGTAACCTGGTGACCCACTAGAAGAAACATAAAGATTAGAAAAGCCAAGCTTACTGTCCACCATTTAGGATTACCAGAAGCCAACTGTTAGCTGCTTCTATAAACACATCATGTGTTCCTTTTCCTTGACAGATTTCTTTGGTGTACTTGGTACCGATGTCTAAAGAAACAATGGTATCAGGCACCTTTTAAATTCAGCTTTCTGTAGTAGCAAAACTAAGTACAATATTCCGTTTCGTTTAGCACTGTATACAAACCTCTAACATGGGCAAAGACAAGATCTAAAGCTGTGTGATGTCCCATTAAGTGCTTTTGTTGAACATGTTATGTTCTAATCGACCTTTTGGAGCAGGGCTTCTACCTGTCTGAACTCCTGGGAGATCTGGTTGGCTGCAAAATCCTAGCACTCTGGGAGGCCGAGGCGGGCGGATTACTCAAGGTCAGGAGTTTGAAACCAGCCTGAGCAAGAGCGAGATCCCCGTCTCTATTATAAAATAGAAAGAAATTAATTGGCCAACTAATATATATAGAAAAAATTAGCCGGGCATGGTGGCGCATGCCTGTAGTCCCAGCTACTCGGGAGGCTGAGGCACCAGGATTGCTTGAGCCCAGGAGTCTGAGGTTGCTGTGAGCTAGGCTGACGCCATGGCACTCACTCTAGCCTGGGCAACAAAGCGAGACTGTCTAAAAAAAAAAAAATAATAGACCTTTGCTCAGTATTCTATTTTGTACTATTTTGAACCAGCAGGACATTACATAGTAAGGTATTAGGGTGTGGAACTACAGGAAGCCTCAGAATCACATCATAGGCCCACATCCACACGATCTTCACAGATTGAACTGCACTCACCTCCATCCCTTGTGGCAGAGGGCTGTGTCCTGACCCCAAACCAATCCCCAGAGACTTCAGCTCAGCCCGATACAGAAGGGATTTCATACTTCCTGAGTAAGGAAATTAGAAAATGTACATTAGAGAGAGACCATTTCTACAAAAAACACAAAATGGGAGCCTGAAGAGTTGAGTCAGGGTCTGAAATGGCTGGAGTTATGATGTTCCAGCCCCTTATGCTGCTATAATCACTTCCAGAAATGCATCCCTCATACGGTGACCCCTTTGTCACTTGGCTTTTCCACTGTGAGCTCACTGAGGGCAGCAGATGTGTGCATCTCCTCACCCAGCAGCCATACCTTCCTTCTCCTGTGCTCTCCTTGGTAGCTGTCACTTCCACTGAGGTCTCATTGCCCCCTTCAGTCCAGCAGCAGCCCCACCATCAAGACTGGAGACTTCAGTCCCCCTCACCAGGTGCACGTCAGCTGCTGGGGGAAGCGGAGGCTCAGGAGCTTGGACAGAGGGTAATATTTATACATGATGCATATTTTGCCTCGGAATCCAAAAAATGTTGGTTTTGCTTTAATTAATGTAGTTGATGCCAATAAAAGATAATACATGCATCATCCCTAGGCTGACCATTATGATGAGTGTTTGTACTCCATATCCTTTGAGTTTCCTTGCAGGAGAATGTCATCCATATGCCCATCCTGAGTTCCCAAAACAAGTTGCATACAGTTATTATGTTGCCTGTAATGATTACGTGCAAAGTCATATTGTATATCTTTATGTAATAAAAACATTTGCTTGGGGCTTCTGAATGTGTTCTAGTTTTTTTTTTTCTTTCACATTTATATATATTATATCTATAATAAATTATTTCCTTGGCATAGATGGGAATACAGTGTGTTTTTCTCATTTAGATAACTTGTCACTGCCCACATAATAATGTGTACCTCATTTCTGCCACTACTCTGCCATGCCTGCTTAATCAAATTTCCATATACATCAGGCTTCTCTCCTATTTATTTTTAAATTTCTCTGCTAATGCTAGACTGTATGAATTTCTATAGCATAAAATCTTTGAGGTATGTTAGGCAAGGTCTCATCTTGTTCTTCAGAAAACATTGACCCTTATCATTTCTACATTTGGTGAATGAATATCACTACATACCTATCAGAATGGCCAAACTCCAAAATACTGACAACACCAAAAGCTTCCAATGATGTCATTTCTGTGGGAAAACCACAAAATGATCCCATTTCATTCAAACTAGATAGACAAAAAGTAATACATTAGGTAATTCCAATGCTGCCAATCATGGCAACAACTAAAGGTACATGTAAAGATGGTAGGAGGGTCAATCCACACATTCCATTGGGAATTTCTGGTAACCTTGAAGTTGCTCAAAATCTACAACCCAGCAAACTTTCTCTAATGTGTGGAGAATTTATTTTGCATAGGAACTTACAGTATGATTCGAGCAGCATTAGACCTATCAGAAAATGGAAAAATTTAATTTTTATTTAAAAGTGGCCTAATCCTAGGCTACACCTGCACAGAAAAAAAAAATAAATAAATAAAAAAATAAAAGTGGCCTAAGATGGCTGCAGGCTGGACATACAAATAGACACTAGGCTTAAGAACTAAAGCTAGGCTGGGGTGGTGGCTCATGCCTGTAATCCTAGCACCTGGAAGGCCAAGGTGGGAGGATCACTTGAGGTCAGGAGTTCAAAACTAGCCCAAGCAGGAGCAAAACCCCCTTTTTCTACAAAAACTAGAAAAAAAATAGCTGGGTGTTGTGTCGAAAACCTGTAGTCCCAGCTACTTGGAAAGCTGAGGCAGGAGGATCCCTTGAGCCCAGTAATTGGAGGCTGCAGTGAGCTATGATGACATCACTGCACTCCAGCCTGGGCAACAGAGTGAGACTGTGTCTCAAACAAAAAAACTGTTAGGTTTGTTATATGTGGGAACCCAAAAAGTATAAAACAATACCTGCAGGAGTCTGGAGAATCCTGAGACATTGTAAATCTAACAGCCAGCTGCAGCCAGCATTCCTTTCCTCCCTCACAGAGACTGAAGTTTACCCTCCCTCTCTCTCCTGATAAGGACTACAGGGAGCTGAAGGGTGGATGTAATTAGGACAGGAGTCCTAGGAGCTGGTTGTTTGAAAAAGAATTTATTACAAGCAGCTGTTCTGGCCCACTTACTCCTCCCACTCCCCCGGAGAAACCTTCTATAAAACCAAAGGCTCTCCCCTTTTCTCTCATAGACGCTTTTTCAGCCCCCACCCATCTGCACCCAGATGCTCAAAATAAACAGCATTTTGCTACACACGAGGCTTCGTGTATCACTCCAACTAACAAAAACCACTGAAGCTGAACTCACAGCCTGCAAGAAGGCTGGAGTTTGTCCGATATATTTCACTGACATGTACTGATTTCAACCTTGCCTATCAGATAAAGCGCAAAACCTGGGTAAAATGAATCATCCCTCTCCAAACCCTAAGACACCACCGTACTCATTAACCATTTACCCCATGTACGTTAACCATACAGGTATTTGCTTTATCTTAAGCATAAAGTCCCTGAGAACCAGAGTTACAAGAATGTCTGTCACCTTTGCTTCACTGCCCCCTTCTCTCCTATTGTTCTATGTAACAAGACGCATAAATAGGGTGCCTCACTCATGTAGCCCACTTTGGGTCTCACTCTTGGTTGGTGCTGAGTTTAAGTCCCTGGGCTTATACATTTGGCTTGGAATACAATTAACTTTAAATTTATTTAAGCTTAAATGCCTGTTGTTTTAGCCTTGCAGTCCACAGACCAAATTAGTTGGCAATGATAACAAACCAACTATTTAACTTGGTTTGCGTTCTCATGCACCTTATAAAAAAGCCTCTCCAGCGGGCATGGTAGCTCACACCTGTAATGCAAGAACTTTGGGAAGCTGAGGTGGGAGGATCACTTGAGCCAAAGAGTTGGAGACCAGCCTAAGCAACATGGCAGGACCCCGTATCTACAATAAAAATTTAGCGGCATGGTGCTGCGCACCTGTAGTCCCAGCTACCTGGGAGGCTGAGGCAGGAGGATCGCTTGAGCCCAGGAGTTCCAGGCTGCAGTGAGCTACCGTGTTTCTCCGAAAATAAGACAGGGTCTTATATTTATTTTTCCTCAAGAAGACACCCTAGGGCTTATATTCAGGGGATGTGTTATTTTCCCCTCAAAGCCTCAGTTTGCAGCATGCACAGGATGGCGGGGACCTGACAGGGGGAGCCGACCTTGTTGGTGGGGCTGCCCGCAACTTTGCGGTCACCTCTGGGATAGTAGCTGTCACGATGGCGCAGATGAGAAAGGCTGCTCATCTTCTTTACCACTGCGCCAGGAAATGCATGGGTTGTGCAGATACGCTGCGTAGCCACGCCCATCACTAGGTCTTATTTTGGGGGTAGGGCTTATATTGTGCAAATGCTTAGAAATGCTGCTGGGGCCTATTTTATGGGTAGGTCTTATTTGGGGGAAACCGATATGATGACACCACTGCACTCCAGCCTGGACGACAGAGCGAGATCCTGTCTCCTCAAAATAAATAAGTAAATAAATAACCTTTCCTTCAAGCCTCTCCCATGGGCCCCTCCAAACCACAAACCACAAACCATGGCTGGTTTATTCCCGATTCAATAATCGCTGTTTGCAAAAGAACAAAATCACTCTTTAAAATTTTAACGGTGCCTCAGTTTAATTTCTACATGAAAAGGGACTAGGAACCCACACACACCACAGCGCCTCCCACTGCACGAATCCCACACACCCAGCAGGAAAATGGTAATTAAAACACGGTGCTGGTTGAAATACGCCACGGAGGACAAACACCTGGTAGTGACGGTGTGAACTGGGGAGAGGAAGCTGGCATTGGGAACGCGGGAGGGATCTGGAAATTTAGAGATTTATGCTCAACCCTAAGAAGAGCTGGGCTGGGGGACGCAGGGTCATGGATTTGAGACCTTCCCTGCCATGATGTGGAAAACTCAGGGGAAAACGCGTCCAGGTAAGGACTGGGGACCTCGCAGGCCGCAGCCCCTCCCACGCACGACCCCCCCACACCGAGTCCGGACCCTCCCCCATGACCCTCCGCCGTCTCCGCACAATCTGGGGACACGCGGGGCTGCGGAGCTGCCCAGAGAGGGCGCCGGGGCCGAGGTCACCGCGCGCGGACTGGTCACAACGCCCGGGGCCGGCTGCCGGCCCAGCCCCACCCCGCTGGCCCGAGGGGCCAGGCCCGAGCTGAGGGAGCGGACCGCGGGGAGGCCCGGGTCCCGCCACAGCCCGTTCCGACCGGCCCCTCCTCCCACGTCCCGGAAAACTAGTCCCGCACACTCACCATTTCTTGGCCTCCGGGGTGACCCGGCGTCCTCCCTGCGGCTCCCGCAGCCGGAAGCCGAGGTGGAGACACGCCGTGCGTCTGAGCAGCCGAGACCAGAAGCTGACCGCGACGCGCGGGAGACTCAAAGGCCGCAGAGGATTGTGGGGCTTCGCCCGCTCTTCCCAGGGGCGCACCTGATTGGACAGTTTGATCGCCCGCCCCATCGCCCCGATTGGATAGCGCTCTAGGCCCCGCCCCCGAGCCCCGGAAGGGCAGGAGAAGCTATGGAAAAGGTGCCCGTATGGAGCCAGACTGGCAGTTTCTAGCTGCAGCCCCTCCGACGCCAGGCTTCCTCCTGGCGCTTGGTCCTGACCCCAACTGGGGAACAGTCGAATTTAAGCAGTACTTTTCTCCTGGTTTTCCACAGATGGCACTGGCGTCTTCCTATACTCAGTGGGCCCTTCCTGTTTCTTCCTCGTGGATAGGGGGTCCAGGTGTGTGTGGAGAATTCCACGTTAGGCGTGCCACGGACCAATCCCTGGCCTTAGAGTCGGAAGGGCGCCCAGGCTAGCTACACCAGGCCACTGTGGAACTGGAGGGAGGGCTCAATGTCTTCAGTGGCTCAGGAATCTGGGATAGGATGTTGGCAGCCTCACCAAGGCTTTCTCACACCTTATCTCTCAGTCTATTCATTTTTCAGCCAAGAAATAAAAACACGCCAAGAAGGGAACAAAAATCATTAAATGGGCAGGGCGCGGTGGCTCACGCCTGTAATCCTAGCACTCTGGGAGGCCGAGGCGGGTGGATTGCTCCAGGTCAGGGGTTTGAAACCAGCCTGTGCGAGACCCTACTAAAAAAAAAAAAAAGAAAGAAAGAAAGAAAAAAAAAAAGAAAGAACTTAATTGACCGACTAAAAATATATACACAAAAAATTAGCCGGGCATGGTGGCGCATGCCTGTAGTCCCAGCTACTCAGAGGCTGAGGCAGGAGGATCGCTTGAGCCCAGGAGTTTGAGGTTGCTGTGAGCCTTCTGACGCCACAGCACTCACTCTAGCCTGGGCAACACAGTGACACTCTGTCTCAAAAAAAAAAAAAAAATCATTAAACGCATGAAGAGTTATATAGGAGCCATATTCTATAAGGAAACAAAAAGGAAAGAACAGCAAACATTTGAACTAACCAAACTGCTCCACCTACAATACACAAAGAAATCCCCATTTGCAAGCTTAAACACATTCCAAGCTTGGCAGCCAGACTCTGACTGCTGAAATGGAGCCCCAGAGTAGATCAGTCCCTCGTGATGAGGCAGGGAAACCTAAAGATTTAACACTGAGAGCTCAACGTACCCACCTGTCCCCTCTGCACTGTGGGGAAATGCTCCCTCCTTCGGTATCTCCCACCTAGAACCAGTTTAAGGTTTTGACCTAAATAAACCGTCAAATTTACAAACACTTTCTGAAGGCAACAAGTCAAACATTTTTTTCTCTGAGCCTGACTTTCAGACTTTCTTAATTTCTGCAAATTAGTCTGACTGCAGTGACCCTGTGCATGCCCAAACCTAGACACTGTACAGAATATGGCCCCAGAGTACAATCTCAGAAAGCACAGAATTACCCCCACAACCACATCTGCACGTGAGTTCCCTGCTGTCCAGTGCTCTGCAGCTTCTCAAAGTCCACACTCCTGCTGTGTCTGTCCTGAGCAGCTGGAGGCCCCTGCAGGGAGGCCAGGCTGCCTGGGAATCCATTGCAGCCTCCAGCCTGGCCTCAGCTTGGAGCCCCTGGCCTCAGGCTCTGCTGCCCACTGCAGGGGGTTCACCTGCTTCTCACCAACACTGATCAGTGAAATGGGACAAAGACCCGCAGTCCCAGTGTCTGAATAACACTAGCAGAGCCCCTGCTTTCCTCTTTTGTATGGCATAAAGTAGATCAAGAAATTTCTAAAATAATTTATATAGATTAAAAGACTGGCAAATCATTATTCCTTTGAGAAACTAAATTGGCAAATAAAGCCAACTGAGATCTTTAAACGAAATTTGTCATTTTGTCCTCAGACAGTTGTCACCAGGCACTCTGTGCCTGGGGATGTACATGTCCTATTGACCTGAATATCTGAATATCTCTCAGCCTCACCTCACCACCACTGCCCCACCCAGTCATTTCTGTAGCTAAATACTAAGCATTGTGTAAGCAATCTAAATGGTCTCAGGGTGAATCCACCCAAGGCTCCCTCATGTCCCTCGTGTATTCATTTGAAGCCATCTTCCTGGATAGACTATGATATCTTGAGGACCACGTTCATTGTGTTTGCTTCTGTTTTCCTTATGTCACAACCTGCTCGTTGAGGGCACACAAGTAAAATTCTAAACTGGGCCATCACCTGCTGTAAATACCAGAGGTGTTTGCACAACTCTGAGACATTCACAACCCAGAGAGGGTGTGTGGCTGTTAATGCCACCTTAAAAGGGAGCTACACTGACTTCCCTTTTCTGGAAAATGGCTCAGAGCAGTTTTCTGGAGGACTTTTTAAAAAAATATAGGTGATAACACTTGATAAAAGTAAAAGCAACAGTATTCCCTTTGGTTTCATTTATATGATTTGACTTTTCATAGGTTGTTAAGAAAGCAATAAAGCTTGTAAACCTTGATTGGATTTCCCTGATTCCGAAAAGGTCACTGAAAAAAATCTACACTTGGAAATAAATAGAAATAACTGAGGTGAGAAGAAGGGGACTTGCTGAGGAGGTGCTATGTGGGATGAAACCCGAAGTAATGTATTAGTAAAAAATGTCATAGCAGAGGATTCTGGAAGGATGGCAGAGTAGGAAGCATATGAAATCTGTCTTCCTGCCTAGACAACAACTGCACTGGCAGAGTCTGTCTGATGTAGTTTGGAACTCTGTAGTCTACTGAAACGTTGCAATTTCTAGGGAAAGGATTGTATGGTAAATTGTGGTTAATTTCAGTCAAATTCAACCCTTAGCACAGTAGCAGCTACCCATCCTTCGCTTCCAGCTCCATGGAAGACAGGTGCATCAGGTCTAGCAAGAGCTTACATGCAGCTTATGGGAGGCAGAGTTAGCAAAAAAGACCCAGTGCTCTATACATTTGGGGTCTGTGGTCTGCATACTAATTGCTGCTTCTGATTACAAAGGTGCAGACAAATTAGGCAAAAAAAAAAAAAAAAAGAAAAGAAATAAAAGGCACCCAATTGGAAAAAAAAAGAAGAAAAATTATCTCTTTTACAGATTGTATGATACTAAATGTAGAAAACCCTAAAGACTCCACATGGGAAAAAGAAAACCTTAGAAGGATTCAGCAATGTTGCTGAATACAAAATCAACACACAAAAATCAGTGGCATTTTTATATACTAACAACAATAATCCAAAAAGTATGCTAGCATGCTGTTCAAGAAAGTGTAAAAAAAGAGAAAATTAGTATATAATTCTTTATAAAAAATAAATAAATAAAAACAAAAAGCAAATTAATGAAACAATTTCATTTACAAAAGCATCAGAAAGTATAAAACATAGTAATAAATTTAACCAAGGGCCTACAGCTTATACACTGAAAACTACAAAATGTTGCTGAAACAAACTAATGAACATGTAAATAAATGGCAAGACACCCCATGTTCATGAACTGCAAGATCTAACTATTAAGAGACAATACCACCCAAATCAATCTACACACACAATGCAATCCCTATCAACATACTAATGGTGTTTTTTTTACAGGAATAGAAAAATGATCCTAAAACTCATTTGGAATCTATTTGGATCACTTGAGGTCAGGAGTTCAAGACCAGCCTGAGCAAGAGCAAAACCTAATATCAAAACAATTTTGAAAAATAACAAAATTGGGAGAGTCATACTTCCTGATCTTAATACTATAAAACTATGGTAATAAAAACACATGGTACTGTCTTAAGAACATGCATATAGCCCAGTGGAATAGAATAGAGAGCCCAGTGGAATAGAATAGAGAGCCTAGAAAGAAATGCTCACATGCATGGTCAAATGATTTTTAACAACAGTACTGTGATCATTCAATGTAGAAAGGGCAGTCTTTCAACATATGTTGTTGGGAAAACTGGATATCTAGATTCAAAAGAATGAGGTTGTACCCTCACCTTACTTAAAAACGAAAACTATAAAATATTTATTTAAAAACATAGGGGGAAATATCATGACATTGCATTTGCTAATGATTTCTTGGATATGACATCTAAAATACAGGCAACCAAAGAAAAATAGATAAAATGAACTATTAAAAAATTTAAAACTTTTCTGCACCAAAGGACACTCCCAAGTGAATGAAAAGACAACATATAGAATGAAAGAACGTATTTGCATATCACATATCTCACAAGGGATTTATATCCAGAATGTATAAGAAATTCCTACAGGCTGGGCATGGTGGCTCACACCTGTAATCCTAGCACTCTTGGGAGGCGAAGGAAGGAGGATTGCTGGAGGTAAGGAGTTTGAGCAGCCTGAGCAAGAGACCCCATCTCTACAAAAAATACAAAAATTAGCCACATGTAGTGGTACACACCTGTAGTCCCAGCTACTTAGGAGGCTGAGGCAGGAGGCTTGCTTGAGTTCTGGACTTTGAGGTTGCAATGAGCTATGATGACACAGGAGACACAGCAAGACCCTGTCTCAAAATAAACAAATGAACAAAAAACCTCCTACAAATCAACAACAAAACAAACCAAAAAGACCCAATTGAAAAATCAGCAAAGGATTTGAAAACACAATTAAACAAAATATATAAATGGCCAATAAGCACATGAAATGATGCTCACTATTGGTCATTAGAGAAATACAAATCAAAACCATAGTGAAATACCAGTTGACACCCATTAGAGTGATTATTATTTTTTAAAAAAGGCTGATCCCTGTGGCTCATGCATGTAATCCCAACACTTTGGGAGGCTGGGGTGGGAAGATTGTTTCAGGCCAGGAGTCACAGACCAGCCTGGGCAACAAAGTGAGACCCTTTTCCTCAAAAGAAAAAAATTCACTAGACATGGTAGTGCACACCTGTAGTCCCAGCTAACTGGGAGGCTGAGGTGGGAGGATTGCTTGAGCACAGGAGTTTGAGTTCGTAGTAAGCTAAGATTATGTCACTGGTTGACAGAGTAAGACCCTGTGTTAAAAAAAAAAAAAAAAAAAAACCGAATACAAGCAGTGTCAGTGAGGATCAGAGAAACTGAAATCCTTGTATGTTGCTAGGAAGAATATAAAATATTGTAGCTACTATGAAAAGCAGGATGGCTATTCCTGAAAAAGCTAAATTATCCTGTGACCCATCATTCCACTCATAGGTATATCCAAAAGAATGTTAAGCAAAGCAGGGACTCACATGGGCACATAAATACCAATTTTACAGCAGCATTATTCACACTAGTCAAAAGATTTTTATGGAAATAACACCAGTGCTCATCAACATATGGATGGATAAAGTATGGTTTATCCATACAATGAAATATTATTTAGGCATAAAAACAATGAATTACTGGCTGGGCACAGTGGCTCATGCCTGTAATTCTAGCACTCTGGGAGGATGAGGTAGGATTGCTTGAGCTTAGGAGTTGGAGACCAGCCTAGGCAAGGGTGAGACGCCATCTCTACAAAAAATGGAAAAATTAGCCAGGTGTCATGTTGCATGCCTATAGTCCCAGCTACTCGGGAGGCTGAGGCGAGAAGATTGCTTGAGCCCAGGCAGTTTGAGGTT